ACTCCACCCCCACAAAGTGTCTCTGGTAGATAGCTGTTTATCATTATAATTATTTCTCGCCTGTTCTGTTATATTCCTGCTACAAGAGAAACCATCCGGTACTTTTCCTTTTCTTTCTGGCTTATTTCACTAAGCGTGCTCTTTTCCAGCTCCATCCATGTTGCTGCAAAAGACGTGCTTCTTCTTTTTTTTTTTTGGCTGCTGAGTAATATTTCACTGTGTGTATGTACCACATGTTTTCAATCCAGTCATCCATTTTTGGGCATTTGGGCTGTTTCCATGTCTTTCCAATTGTCAACAAAGCAGCAGTAAACACAGGGGTGCAGGTATCTTTTTGAATCAGTGTTTTTGTGTCTTTTGGGTAGATACCTAGGAGTGGGATTGCTGAGTTGTAGGGAAGCTCCAAGTTTAGCAGTTTGAGGAACCTCCAAACAGTTTTCCATAGTGGTTGTACTAGTTTGCATTCCCACCAGCAGTGCAGGAGAGTTCCTTTTTCTCCACACCCTCGCCAACATTTGTTGCTGCTAGTTGTTTGAAGATGTGCTATTCTCACTGGGGTGAGGTGGTATCTCATTGTGGTTTTAATTTGCAGCTCCCTTATTACGAGTGATGTTGAACATTTTTCATATGCTTATTTGCCATCTGCATTTCCTCTTTGGAGAAGTGTCTTTTTAGCTCTCCTGCCCATTTTTTGATGGGGTTGTTTACTTTATTGTTGTTGAGTTTCATCAGTTCTCCGTGTATTTTTGTGATCAATCCTTTATTGCTAGTTTTGTGTGAGAAATTTTTTCCCAATCAGTGGGATGTCTGTTTGTTTTTTGTAATGTCTCATTTGTTGTACAGAAGCTCTTTAACTTGATGTAGTCCCATCTAATTATCCTTGCCTTCACTATAGTTGCATTGGGTGCTCTATCTTTAAAGATGTAGCTGAAGTGTAAGTCGTGTACTGTTTGGCCCATCTTTGCTTCCAGGTATTTTATAGTTTCTGTTCTTATGTCTAGGTCTTTAATCCACTTTGAACTGATTTTTGTGTATGATGAGGGGTAGTGATCTAGTTTCATTTTTTTGCTTGTAGCTTCCCAGTTTTCCCAGCACCATTTGCTGAACAAACTTTCTTTGTTCCATTGTATCTTCTTTGCTCCTTTGTCAAAGATTAGCTGTCCATAAACCTATGGGTTTATATCTGGGTTTTCCGTCCAAATCCACTGGCCTGTATGCCTGTTCTTGTTTCAGTACCATGCAGTTTTGATTATTATGGCTTTGTAGTATAGCTTGAAGTTTGGGATTGTAATGCCTCCATTCTCTTTCTTTCTAGTCATGAGAGCTTTGGCTACTTGAGGTCTTTTGTTGTTCCATACGAATCTCACCAATATTTTTTTCTATTTCTTTGAAGACTATCATTGAGACTTTTATTGGGATGGTGTTAAATCTGTATTATCGCTTTTTGCAGGATGGCCATTTTGATAATGTTAATTCTCCCAATCCATGAGCAGGGGATGTCTTTCCATTTCATGGTGTCTTCTTGTATTTCTTTTAATTTTTGTTTTGTAATTTTCTTTGTATAGGTCTTTTACCTCTTTTGTTAGGTTGACTCCCAGGTATTTGATTCTTTTTATTTTAATTGAAGAGGGGATGTTTTTTTATTTCTGCTTCTTCTGATTGGCTGTTTGTGTATAGGAAGGCCTCTGATTTTTGTGTGTTGATTTTATATCCTGCTACCTTGCTAAACTGGTTGATGGTTTTGATTAGTTTCTCTGTGGAGTTTTTAGGATTTTCCATGTAGAGTAACATATCATCTGCAAATAAGGACAGTTTTACTTCTTTCCCTATTGGATTTCTTGCATGTCTTTTTCCTGTCTTATTGCTCTGGCTAGAACTTCCAATATTATGCTGAAGAGCAGTGGTGATGGTGGACACCCTTTTCTTGTTCCTGATTTCAAGGGAAAAGCTTTCAGCTTTTCTTCGTTGAGGATAACAACAGCTGTGGGTTTGTCATATATGGATTTTATCATGTTGAGGTATGTTCCTTCTATTCCGAGGATTTCGAGGGCCTTAACCATAAATGGGTGTTGAACTTTGTCGAATGCCTTCTCCGCATCTATTGATATGATTATGTGGTTTTTATTTTTCTATCGGTTGATGTGATGATTACACTAATTGATTTTCTGATGTTGAACCATCCTTGTGCTCCTGGGATAAAACCCACTTGGTCACTGTGTATTATTCTTTTAATGCATTGTTGGAGTTTGTTGGCTAAGATTTTGCTGAGGATTTTTTCATCAGTGTTCATTAGGGAGATTGGTTTGAAGTTAAAAATATGGAATGCTTCATGAATTTGCGTGTCATCCTTGCACAGGGGCCATGCTAATCTTCTCTGTAGCGTTCCAATTTTAGTATATGTGCTGCTGAAGCAAACACCAGTTATTTATTTTTTTAAAGATTTATTCATAAAGAACTGGGATACAGCCAGAAAGAGATGGCAGGGGCAGTGAGAGGCTTCACCAGAGAGAGAGTGGGGAGCAGAACAGGCAGATGGACGAAGTTCACTGCTGAGGAGAGCAGTGGGGAGACAGAGAGAGATGGCAGGGGCAGTGAGAGGCTTTACCAGAGACAGAGTGGGGAGCAGAACAGGCAGATGGACGAAGTTCACTGCTGAGGAGAGCAGTGGGGAGACAGGAGAGGTCTGCCACGCCATGTAGATCACCTCTGGGGCTGGGGATTGAACTTGCACTGAAGTGGCTGCGGCCAGCTTGCAGTGCTGCGTCCCAATTTGTTGTGCCACCAAGGAGGGCCAAGTCATACTTTTTTTTTTGGTTAACAGCTCCTCAATCAATCAATCTGCTTGCAATTACAATTTCTGTTCTTTAATATTTTGCTTGGAAATCTCCTCAGTTAAATGTTATTTCATTATTTACAAGTTCTGCTTTCTGCATAACTGCAAGACACAAGTCAGCTAAACTGTCTGCCACCCTGTAACAAACTCATATTCTTTCCTAAAATTTTCAAAATCATGTTCTTAATTCCTTCTGAGTCCTCACCAGTTGAAGGATGCCATCAACATGGTGGAAATGAGATATTGGGATCAATCTCTCCCCTAAAAACAACTAAAAAAGGACTGTTATAATGAGACCTGAGTCCTCACCAGCAATGCCATTAATGTCCATATTTTCACTAAGTTTATTCATGATTTATATATCCTCCAAGATAATTTGGTTTTGCCCATAATGTTCCTCATTTACTTCTGAGCCATCAATGGCAGACTTTTAATGTCTGTATTTCGATTAACAACACATTCAAGGCCACCACTGAGGTTTCTTTTCTATCAGGCTTCTCAAAAGTCTTCCAGTCTCTAATTCAAGCCCACATATCCACATTTTAGGTATTTGTCACAGTAGCACTCCACGTCTGGTATCAAAATGTGTATTATTTTCTATTGATGCTGCAACAAGTCATTACCAGTTTATTAGTTTTATATAATACAAACTTATTATTTTATAGTTCCGTAGGTCAGAAGTCCAGCATGGATCTCATCAGACTAAATCAAGGTGTTTGGCAAGCTGCATTACCTACTGAAGGTTCTAGGAGAGAATCTGTGTGCTGCTCATTTGGACTGTTGGCAGAAGGTTGTTCCCTGTTTCTAGAGGCTGCTGCATTTCTCAGCTCAGGGCTTTCTTCCTTTATCTTCAAAGCCAGCAATGGGTGATCAAGTCCCTCTTCTCACATTTCTCTGACTCTCAGAAATCATAGGATAACGTCTCATCCTATGTCCATCTGACCAGAGAGAGGCTCTTTGCTTTTAAGGAGTCATGTGATTAAGCCCAGCTCCATAACCTTAATCACATCTACATAGTCCCCTTTGCCATCCATGTAATGCTACACATTCACCAGTTCATTAGTGCCAGAGATTAGGGCATTTACACCTTTGGGGGTCCATTATTCTGCCTACCAAACTTACGGCAAAGAACAGAGTAAGCCATTTGCCTAGGTTCAAATCACTGCTAAGCCACTTACTACCTATAAATCATGTGCAAGTTAATTGGGCTTTCTGTGCCTCAGCTGAATTATATGTAAAATGAAGATTACAGTATCAACCTGTGGTGGTCTTAAGAGCTAGCCAACTGTGCCACTGCCTTTTTTTTTTTTTAAGTAACAAAACCTGTTCCTTATCCTTCCAATTTAAACTGGACATAAAGTCATCCAGCTAAAGACTACATATTGTATTTGCCTTGTGGCTATGTGCCTCAGCTTAAAACCAATAGGGTATGAACAAAAGCAATATAATATATGTGTACATATATAATTTCTATATTACTTACAACTCACAGAACTTGTCTCTCTCTCCTTCCCTATAGGCTGGAGTGTAAATGGTACAACAACCCACTGCCAATAACGTGGATGAGAACCCCCACAGGTAACGGCAAAGAAATGAGAAAAAGAACCTGGATCTTTGAATGACCTCATGGAACTAATCCATTCCACTGGTCTGGCAAGCCTGGACTATTACATAGGAAAGAAATAGACGTCTAGTTATTTAAGTCAATGTATCTTAGTGAGTTATTTAAGTGCTTAGTCATATAGGGAATGCTGCGGTAATGGCATACATCATTACTGATTACATTATTTTGCATTCTGGAGGTTGTAATTCTACTTTATGTCTCAGGTCCTCGGTATCCTACAGGAAATAAACATTAAGTAACACTAGTACACTCTAATCAAAATATGTTACCTGATTACTCATTTACATGATAAAGAAACGAGAAACCAACACTGAGTTTATAAATGCAAGGCATTCAATACATTACATTTGATTTCAGGAACACCTCTCAGATGCTGCTGAGATGAAAAAAGAAAATCACATGGAACGTTAGGTAAATTCCCTGAGATCGCTCTAGCCTGTGGTGGCTTGAGAGCTTGTCATTCATATGCCCTCTTTGCCAAAAAGAAGGCCAGTGGGGCAGTTGAGAATTAGTCAATAAGCCCCTCTTCATTATGTTACTCACATAGATGTTCGGTACTTGATGTCATCTTTTTCAGCCAGTTCCTCACAGGTGAGGCCATTGTGCTCTTTCCAGAGTCCCTGACACTTCCTACAGGTTTCCTGGGGACAAAGGAGAAGAAACACAAACAACTCCTGGTGAGTAGACACCACACAAGTTTCTGCTCAATAATAGGGAATGCAAACTGAACTCCACTTGTCCTGAATTCTTTAAGGATCTCTCTCCTTTTCAGCAGAGATAATTCTAAAAGCATCTCTCACCAGAAGAGATAATAATCACTAGGAGAGTGGCCCTCCCTGGTGGCGCAGAGGGTTAAAGCACAGCACTGAGAAGCTAAAGCAACTTCCGCATGAGTTCGATCCCCACCTGCCCAGGAGGTGACCACATGGTGAGACAGACCTCTCCTGACCCGCCCGCTGCTCCCCTCAGCAGTGTACTTCGTCGATCTGCCTGTGCTACACACCACTCTGTCCCTGGTGAATCCTCTCACACTCTGCATCTCTGGCCTTACCCCAGTTCTGTACGAATAAATATTAAAAAAAAAAAAAAATCACCAGGAGGAAACAGTGGGAGAGCTTTCTCTCCTTAGATCAAAAGAAAATATTGTACCCATCACCCAGTTTGTATTCAAAATGCCAGGGACCACTTGAATACCACAGAAGTCAAATTTATGAGATCTTGAGTAGTCCAAAAGAAAACACTGTGAGCTGCTTCAGGGCAGGGTCTGTCTGGGTCTTATTAACGCCTGCAATTCCTCTGCCCAATGATTCCCTGTTAGCAAGTAACAGACATTTCTGTTGAATGATTTAGATTAATTACTAGGAGTCTTCAAGGGAGCTGTCCCCTCAGTCATTTCTTACTCATTAACAAGGATGTCATCTTTCAGAGCTTAACTTCATTTATAAACATGTTAATTAAAAAAAAAATTCTAGGAGTCTTCATAGTTTAAGAGCTATTTTCTTATAAGCTAGAAATTATCTGACATCACCAACAAGAATTTGAAGAATTTAAGTACAGGGAAATTATAACCCTAGCAAGTACAGTGAAAAAAAAAGATAGTGTTGTCTGCTCTAACTGGGGATCTGATAAAAAGACTTTGGGGGAGAGTGAAGGCTTGGAAAACTGGAGTCTGAGATCTGAAAGATGAGTCAAAGATAGTGGAAGGAGAATAGCATACAGAACAGAGGAGTAAGAGAAGACTCTGACCAACACAGCTGGGCAAGCTTGGTTCCTGCAGCTGAACTACGGACTGTAAAAACAGGCCTGCAAGGCCTACAGAGGCAGTTCATGTGGGGCCTTACAGGTGTGATCATCAGTCTGACCTTTATCTTAAGTGCTAGGAAGGGCATCATGAGTGTCAGCTATGGATGTGACCATCAGATTAAAAAAAAGAAACAACAAAAACAACAAAACACCACTCTGTGGAAAGTAGTCTGAAGGAAAGAATAAATGTGTAACAGAACCCAGGAAGCATTGGATGTTATCCAGGAGAGAGACTAAGACAGCCCAAACTAGGAAGGTGGTGAAGACAGGAAGGAGAGTTGACCAATTTGAGAGGGATTTAGGAAGCAAAAGTGGCCAGCCTGGTGATGGTCCAACTATGGAAGTGAGGAGAGAGAAGGAAAGATGATGTCTTGGTTTTGATTTGTACAACTGAAGGGAGCAGCGACATTGATGGAGCCCAAGAACGGCAGAGAAACTCTGGGTTGCGTTGAAGGAGGAAAGGTGAAAAGGTGTTAAGATCCTTAGTTTGACCTGGCTGGTGATGACACAGAGGGGCCTGTGGGACACACATTGGAGATGTCAAGCAGGGAGTTGAGTGAAAACAGTAAGTACCTGGGAGTGGTTGAGCTAGAGGCTGCTGGGAGATGTACTACTTTATACCTTCACATCAATTCTAGAAGCATCTCCAATAGCTTAACTCCACTTGTTACTGACCTTTCTCTTATACAACTAAATTGACTCAGAAAGGCACAGCATAACATGTGTGGAACAGAAGCAACTGTGTCTACATTTAAAGGTGATGGGAGAATACAGTGAAATAAAAAGCCAACTTGAAAGGATACCCAAGAAATTGGTAGTATTATATTGTCCTGAGAGGCTAGAAGACAGTGGTGAGATTCTTACTACAGGCCTTTTGTAGCCTCTGAATCTTATACAAATGTACTATCTAATTAAAAATTAAATACAATTAAAAAAGAGAGAGAGAAGTGAAATGGAACGCTTAGGGAGGAAAATGCCTGAATAACCTTTGGTGAATACTGTTCCTAGGCATGGAATGGGTGGGGTGGGAATAGACAGGAGCCGGATCTGAAGATGCCATTGTTTCCAAGGGATACAATATCTTTGGCTTTCCACCTATATCCCTGTCAATAAACAGAGGCTAAATCAGTAGTGACTTAATTATTACATACCAAACTGTAAAGTAGCATAAAGCTGTTTTTAGAAGACTTTGTACCTAAGTATTCCAGGAAACTGGAGAATAAACAACAGCTGGAGAATAGATGAGCTGGCATCTGGATTCTAATCTTCAAAACAATACCAACCAGCCACCCACAGATATAACAGCTTGAAAACAATGCCCTCAATTTAGATAGTGCTTTCAGTATTCCTGGTGATCCAGTATTAATTCATGGGACTTTCTTTATAAGGAAAAGACACACAAGATAACCTGGTCAATCTGAGTCAGGGCCCACTATGAAGCCACTGCCCATTTTCAAAGTCATGGTGGTTTGCTGTAGGTCATGTGTGGGTGTTCAGCCACGGTACTTTTCTCACTGAAGGGTCCAGAGTATCCAGAGAATAAAACTGAAATGTCTTCTGCAGAAACTAGCTAGCTAGACAACAAAACCCACAATTAAAATAAGGGAAGCAAATAAACAGGCTGTGTAAATTGAATATTCTGCATTCTCTTTATGCTGTTTCTTTAAAATGTACCCTCTCTTCTAAATACAGTGTATTTTACTAAATTGAAACTTTCTCTTCTCAACCACAGCTGGTTTTGTTCCCAGACTCAACATGCTACAATACCAGGTAGAAGACATGTTTTTGAGTGTTTCTAGCATGGAAGACAAATGCATTCTTCAAAGAGTGAAGCAAATGATGAAATATTTTTTCAAATATTTTTCAAATAATGAAAAATGCACAAGGACCCTTTGGGAGGAAAGAGCTTGACAGAAGCTTCAGACCCTGAAGCTTATCCTGATGCATATCCTGCCTCTCAGCCCTCATCAGAGACCACGCTTCCCATCACCTCAGTGGCATTTTCGGTTCAGGAAAAAACAGATGAATTCACCATCACTCCAAATACCACAGAGAAGACTTCTCTCCTCCCAAAAAAGGTACCACCTTGGTTAACTTTTTAAGGAGCAGTAGCCCATGTCTTATGATGGAGCAATTTCTGGTTAAGCTTTACATTTTAGTACTCAAAAAGTACATCAAGGTGTTCTGACCATTCAGTCATAAATTACAGTATAAATGAACACTCCAATGTCTTCCTTCATTCATTTTCTGCCACTTCATGCTTGATGGGCAAGAGGAAAAAAAGCTCAACTTCAGTCAACCCTGTCAAGGAACTGACTTTTTTTTCTTTCCATATAAGTAGCTTCCTCAAAGACCAACACTGGCCTAGGCTAAGACCTCATCTAAGGGCAGCAGGGCTTCCTGCTGCTGGCAAAGATCCCAGAGAAGATGAGACCAAGGCTCTAAGTCACCAGAATGTCTTTATCACTCCAGGCCTGCTCTGGCTCTCTGCATCTTACCTAGCTTACTTCCAGCCTGTCCCAGAAGCAGAATATACAAAAACTAATTTTCAGTGGTTCCTCCAATGAGACTTCTAAACTGACTTTCCAGGGAAAAGAAGTTGCTAATTTAGGTAGAGGTTGGAGCTATGGCCAATTGAAATCTAATCTCTCTGAAACAGTGTTCTGCTTTGCCATCAGAGGTACTCAAAGAGGGGGGAGGTGCTTTAAATCCTCTTTTTTTTTTTTTTTTTTAAAGGTTTATTTATTTATGTATACAGAACTGGGGTACATGCCAGAGGTGCAGGGGCGAAGAGAGGAATCACCAGAGACAAAGTGGGTAGCAGAACAGGCAGATCGCTGAAGTACATTGCTGGGGAGCAGCGGGTGGGTCAGGAAAGATCTGCCACGCCATGTGTGACCTCCAGGGCAGGCAGGGATCAAACTCATGCTGAAGTGGCGGTAGCTTCCTAGTGCTTTTGCCACCAGGGAAGGCCCACTTTAAAGCCTCTTAAAGAAGCAGTTAGGCTAGGCACCCAACCCATCACAAATGCTTAAGTGGACCCAGGAGTCATAAGGCCTTGGACTTTCAGGCCTGTGTCTCCAGATGTCAAAGTCACGGATTCTCCCCCTACTTCAAGGCCCAAGTGACATATGGATGCCAGCCAAGACTAGTCAGGAAAAGAGACAATGAGACAAATGCTGGGATTCTTGAAAAACAATAAACTTGGCAAAATCAAAGCTCAGGCAGAACCAGGTTTTCCTTCCTTTCACTAATGGAAATGGAGAATTTCTATTTTCTTAGGGCAAGAATGCAGTGTCTCAGGAGGAAGTGAGATATGTGAGGAAATCTAGCAAAGGACAGTGGAGTTCAGCATACACACATACACAGAGATACACACACACGCGGTGGTGCCCAAGAGAGACAGCGAAAGGAGGGGGGAGGGGCATCGGGAAAGGACTTGTGAAGGCCACACGCAGTGAGGAGCAGAGGAAGCTGTTGTGGTGGGGACTTGAGGGGAGGACTGAGAGAGGACAGTACTGGGTTAAATGGAAGGTGCTGAGGTTGGAGGTAGGAGCTTGGAAAGCTGGGCTGAGTGGTGGTAAGTGTAATGATCTGATGTACATTTTCAGAAGATCACTGGAACTGTTGATGGTGCACAAAAACATGCTAGTTGTAGGACTGTGCAGCAACTCTCTCACTCAACTAGGCCAAGGGAATGCCTTTCAGGGGAACAAGCCCTTATGCCTAGATTAGATTCTTGGCCAGACTTCCTCAAACACCATCCACAGTGAGAGACCGGATGGACTAGGATGAACCCGAGGACACCATTTCTTAATGATGATGACAGGAATCTATT